TAACTTTTGAAAATGTTCCGGAAGAGTCTGACAGTTTTATATATATCTTAAATTAAAGCTTATGTAATATACCTTAATTTGAAAAAAAAAATTTGACCTCTGGACTTGTCTTCGTGGTGAAAGTTGATATCAAAGTTAATAAAAAATTACGATTTTTGTAAATTATAATTTACATTTTTTACTTTAAAGTGCTATAACTTANATTTTTTTATATTTTTAACTTAATAATGCTCTAACTTTTTCAAAAATGAACATATGAATATAATTTTTTTTTTTCATGGTGAAAACGGCTACCGAATGCTATTTTTGTCTGAAAATTTTCGATTTTATTATTTATATTATATTTAACTTTATAATGCTATGACATATTGAAAAGTATTATGGATCAACATTATTTTTTTATGAGAAATAATATTTTTTAATAAACCTTTTTCATTCGACATACTTTATCTTAATCGAGATATTAATAAGGAACCAGCAGATCAAGTAGCTTTTGGAATAAAACACCAATTTTTTTAAAATTAAACACTATCTAAAGATTTGCATCGAAGCGTTTATTTTTGATAGTGATTTTAATCACTGTCAGATATCATTATACTTGATCCAACTATGCCACGTCACCACTGTGCCGCGACCCCCCTGTGCTGGGTTTTTTTACTTAAAATTGCCATAACTTTATTAAAAACTACCGAATCAATATATTTTTTTTTATAGATACCTTAGATATTTCACTATCCTTTTATATATTTTTGTTAACATTTGACCCTTGACAAGCTCACAGGAAGGGGTTTCAAAACGGTAACTTTTTACAAAAAATTAACTTTTTCAACTTAACTTTTGAAAATGTTCCGGAAAGACTGACACTTTTATATATATCTTAAATTAAAGCTTATGTAATATACTCTAATTTGAAAAAAAAATGTTGACCTCTGGACTTGTCTTCATGGTAAAAATGACTACCGTATTCAAAAATATGTTATTTTTGTGTTAAAATTCCGGGTTTTGTATTTTATTTTATTTTAAAATACATGACAAGGGGAATACACTGATTTTCAAAAATATTATATAAATTAAATTGTTATAGCATAGAAAGTTAAACTTATTTAAATTTTTTTGCTTTTGAAGTCGAAAAAATTAACATTTGAAATTCAAACTATCTTAAATAGCCAATTTTTTCAATCGACAGTAGCAACGTAAGGTTGCCGATTTGGTAAAACTTGTGTTTTACACGCTTGGGGTACGAGGTTACATCCCGCGTATTGCATTGAATTTAGTGCATTTTTTCTTAATTCTTTTTCAGTTAGTATACATTTTTAACTCGTTTGATTTTTATCTCATTTAGATTCAATAACTTCAATAAAGATCAAGGATCCCATCACTTTAGTCGCCCCTTGCAAGAAGAAATTTATTATTATTTGTATTAAAATTATTTTACTATATTTTAAGTTTTCTCTTCGATGCAAAGCTGAGAAGATATTTTTTTGTGACTATCAATTATTTTCTCTGCTCTAACTTGACCTACATTTTTCAAAAATACGTCAAATTACTACAATTCGTATCTATTTATTGGTTATTTTATTTAAAGTAAAATATTAAAATTAATTCAGTTCATATTTCAATTGTAGTATCTTCTTAAACACCAAAAGTTACTATGAAATGATTACTATTATTTCTATTTAAGTTATCTATTACGATAAAAATGCAAACAAATATTGAGTTACTCTGATAAATTTACTATAAATAGTAATTATAAAATTTCCTGACTGCATATTAATTTTAACAATACAATTTTTTTAATTCTCATAAAATTTTATATTTAATTATGTCAATATCAAACTAGCAATTGAACTAAAAGTACGGCAACATATTTAATTTTTTTTTACGATAAACTTTCACAAAAACTTTTCATCAACTTTAAAGAACCAAAAAAATAGGTTAAAAATGAAAATTTGGACTGATTATTTTTAACATATTAAAAATGAAATCAGTTATAATTTGAAAACAATTTTTTTTTCTTTTAATTATTATTTTATATGTAATTTGTTATTATATAAAAAATTGGAAAAGATAGAAAAAGTCTAATTGCATATTTGAAAACAGCGCGAAAGTTGATTTAGAGAAGTATATTTTTGCTTCTGATGAAAATTCCTTGTAGTCCAGTGAATTTATTCATAAGTAACAAAATTTTTTTATTAAAAAGTATTGCATCAATCCCTTTAAATTAATAAGGAACTAGCAAATCATGAAACTTTTGGAATAATACACCAATTTTTTAAAATTAAACACTATCTAAAGATTTGCATCGAAGCGTTTATTTTTGATAGTGATTTTAATCACTGTCAGATATCATTATACTTGATCCAACTATGCCACGTCACCACTGTGCCGCGACCCCCCTATGCTGGGTGTTTTAGATTTATGATTTATATAGCAACATGTTACGAAAAAGTTTGGAATGTTAAACACTGGTCACACACAAATAGAGTTAAAAATTAATAAATTAAAAAGTAAAATTATTTACTTTTGTAGTTGAATACTTTTATAATCTCAAATCTAATTTGAATATATATAATTTAAAAATATAAATGAATGATTTTAATTGTTTATATGAATAAAGCTGGTTAAGTTACTTTTTATTTGATTAAGGGATTTTTTTCAATATTTGAGGGTAATATCTTCAACTAAATAATAATTGTAAGTATTTGACGTATCGTTAAAAAAAGGAGGTTAAGTGAGTGTTAGAAAAATAAATCGGGGCCACGAAAAAATCACATAGTAAAATAATATTAACATGAATAAGAAATTTCTTCTCGCGAGGAGAGACTATAGTGAGGGGATCCTTGATATGTATTGAAGTTATTGAATCTGTTATAAGTTATAAAATGCAAAATATTAATTGCCACAGGCGGTTTCGAACCTTATACCGAAAGCAAGATTTACACTAATGTTACGATTCGGCAACTGTTCGTCGCTTTCTTCGCATAATAAAATTAGCAATTTAAGCTAGTTCAAATTTGAAAAATACTTTTTTGACTTTAAAAAAGTAATATGTATTTCGATTTTTTTTTTTTATAGTTAAGTATATAATAAGCTTTAATTTAAGATTAAATAAAACTGTAAATATTTCCGGAACATTTTCAAAAGTTAAGTTGAAAAAATTCTACTTTTTATACGTATGTTTCAAGTTTTAAGCCCTCCTGTATAAAGGGAAATGGTCAATTTATAGCAATTTAAAGTTGAAAATTTAAAATCAAAAATCGAACATTTTAACACCAAAATTGCATAATTTTTAACTACGGGAGGTATTTGCGCATAGAAAATAAATCGTCAGGACAATTTTTTTTTTCATTTTATAGTACATAACATAAGCTTTAATTTTATATATGTTTAAAGGACGCAGTATTTCCGGAACATTTAAAAAAATTAAGTTGAAAAAGTTAATTTTTGTAAAAAAGTCGCTATTTTAAATCCCCCTAATGGGCAGTTAAGTGTAAATTTTGCTGGGATATAATTGATAGTCTAATAAAACATACAAAAATAAATAATTTTTTTTTAATTTATTCAAAATTAAGTCATAATAATGTTATTATAGTAGCAATCGTAGATACATATAATATATAACATACATATAATTATATAAACCAACCTATATTAAAGATTTTTTACGCCGAAGTAATAAGAAGTACCAAGTCTTTTCTCTAATAAGTAGTAATACTAATAAGTATTGATCCAAACATTTGTTATCTTTTTTATATTAAAATATATTGAATTAATTTTAATTTAATTATTTAAGGAAAGAAGGTTTTTTCACGTATGTTGTCAGTAATGTAAATGTTTGATGTATCATCAAAAGTATTTCATTTTTCTAAATGTTATTTCAATATAAAGTGAAAACTAAAAACATGAACAATGATTGTTTAATGACAACTGTATTTTTTTAGAAATATCTACTACTGCGACTGAGGGTAAATTTTTTAATATATTGGCGTATAAGCTTTTAATAGATGTTTTGTGATTTTTAACGTGTCGTTGAGCAAAATCGGTCCAGTATGAGTAGGTGTAATGGTGTATCGGGCAGAAAAAGAAACACGTCAAAGTAAAACCAATAGTTTCTCAGCTACGCATTGAAACTAAAATTCTTTTAGGGTAGTCCAAAATTGTAAAAATTATGTTAAGAAAAAAGTAATGCAAAATATTTAATAAATCAGAAGTTCTTAAGGATGTGAAATATCCTTAATAACTTCCTAATTAAAATATGAGATAAGCTGTAGATAAAATGGAAACATTTTGTATAAGAATGAGAAATGAAATTATAAAAAAAAATTTTCATAAAGTGTTAATTTATTAAAACATTGAAGTATTAATTAACGTTAATTAAAAAGTAAATTTTAATTTAAACTGAAATTACTAAAACTGCTTTAAATTTATTTTTTGTGATCACAAAATTATCAACAAACCATTTTTTTTTTTATTTGAATCATTTTTATTTTAACACTAAAATATTTAGAAATATCAAAACCCATGACAGTAGTAAAACGTTTAAACATCAATTATTTTATGAGAAAAATAATAAAAAAAAAATTACCTGCAAATGCATTTGTTATATAAATAACGAAGAGTAAGAAAACAATTTTATTTTTAAACATATTTAAAGCTTATAAAAATTCTTTTAATGGAAATTATAAAATTTTTTAAAAAATTTATATGGATTAATTCAATTAGNTATCCTTAATAACTTCCTAATTAAAATATGAGATAAGCTGTAGATAAAGTGGAAACATTTTGTATAAGAATGAGAAGTTAAATTATAAGAAAAATATTCATAATGTGTTAATTTATTAAAACATTGAAGTATCAATTAACGTTAATTAAAAAGTAAACTTTAATTTAAACTGAAATTACTAAAACTGCTTTAAATTTATTTTTTCTGATCACAAAATTATCACCAACTCAAATTTTTTTTATATGAATAATTTTTATTTTAACACTAAAATATTTGGAAATATCAAAACCCATGACAGTAATAAAACGTTTAAATATCAATTATTTTATGAGAAAAATAATAAAAAAAAAAAATTACCTGCAAATGCAATTGTAATATAAATAACGAAGAGTAATAAAACAATTTTATTTTTAAACATATTTGAAGCTTATAAAAATTCTTTTAATGGAAGTTATAATATTTTTGGAAAAAATTATATGGATTTATTCAATTAGAAACAATTTAAAGTACTTAATGAAGTCAATATAAAGCTTGTTTTATAGGAAATTGAGCTTAATTTAAACGGTTCAGATGTTTTATTTTGGTTACTGATGACACTATTGACGACAACTGTAATAATTAATTCAATAATTTTTTCGTAAATAGAGTCGTAATCAGTATNAAATTCAATATTTTTTTAGTAAATAGAGTCGTAATCAGTATTAATAACTATAATTTTATATGTCATTAATTCAGCACTGTAAATTCAAGTAAAATTTATCAAGCTGAAACATCATGATCAACTTATTAAAATAATTGTTACTTCTTTCAAAAATATTACATAATGGATTTAAATATAAGATTATTAGAATAATGATATTTGAAAATAATAAGATTAACTTATAATAATAATAATAATAAATTAGATAGTCTATCTTTTCAACTTTCAATAAAATGAATTGATGCCATTATAATTATAAAATTATAATTTAAAATTATAAAAAACTTAGAAGTGTCCTGTTACAGTGCAACACACAAAATAACCAAACAATTATCTTATTTTATTGGCCAATTAAAAACGGTCAAATAGGTTTTTGACTAGCTTAACTTTCCCGAATGTTGTTTATTTTCAATTCTATAGCTTGTAAACCTCAAAAAGAAGGACGCGTTTTAATAATAAGAGATGAGCATAAAAAATTATTTATGATTGTTAAATTCATAATATACAGAGTGATTTTTTTATCATAACCCACTCAATTATTTACAGAATAAATATATTTATACATTTAATTCTTTTTGGTTATCTATAGCTACACATTATTCTTGAATTATTAACTATGTAATACTTTTTAAGTTCATCCCTTATGCCTTGTAAGGGCGTCAACTTTGTTTTTTTAGATGGAAACACATATTTTTAATTTAGTAAAATGTTTGATTTTTTAATTTAATTATAAATGGCATTTGAATTTTTACTAAAACTTTATTTGTTTATTAGATATAAACATTTAAAGTTTCAAATTTTTGAGTTAATATTCAGGTATAATACACAAGGGATTACAAATACATAAGTATAAGTACAATGTATAAGTAGCTAATTGGTTTTTATGACATCGCTGTCACAGTCACGGATTATTTATTATCAATTATGACTATCATTAGATATACTTTTAATATAGTCAGTTAGTGTAATTATGAACTCACAACAATGTGCCTTACTACCATTGATAATAACAATGCTGTGTACCTGCGAATATTGATTTCATAAAAAATCAATTAGCTACCTGTAATTGTAATCCCTTGTGTATTATACATGTATAATAACTCTAACATTTGAAACTTTAAGTTTTTATATCTAATAAACAAATAAAGTTATACTAAAAATGACATTTATTAATAAATTAAAATCTCAAAGATTTTATTAAATTCAAAATATGTGTATTAATACATTTAAAAAAACAATATTGATCCCCTTACAAGGCATAAGGGATGAACTTAAATAGTATTACATAATTAATAATTCAAGAATAATGTGTAAATAAAGATAATAAAAAAAAAAAATGTTTAAATATAATTATTCTGTAAAACATTGAGTGGTTTATGATAAAAATATCATCCTGTATAATAAAATAAATATACAATTAAAAGAAACCAAAAAAACTTATCGATACTTTTTTTATTTTAACCAACCAAAATGAAGGTCTAAATAATCGAACTTTATTTAAGAACAATTCCATAAAAACTTTTTATGATTTGATACGACTTACGTCGCAATAATGTAGTCGACACTGGTTTTGAGAGTAGAGATCCGTAGGCCGTTTATTAATGAGCAAGAACAGGTTACTTAAAAAAAAAAAAACAAACCGAAAAGACTAACTCAGTTAATAATAATCTTCGCATAATATCGCGGCATCTTCGCTAGCGTAGGCGACGCGGTGTCCGGCATGATCTTTGGGCGTCGAAAAGTTAGCAGCGTTGATAGGGACGGTGCGCGGGTGCGGTTCGGTTTGTCGACGTTGTCACTTTCACAACGGAAAAAGACTCAGCGTATCATTTTTGGCGGGTCGTCGTCGGCCGTGTGGCACTTGTTGGACTTTGCACCGTGGCGTAAGGCACGCGGTGTTGGTCAGTAAAATACTCATAAAATAGGGCGACAGCTGATAAAGGTGGCACGAGTCGCGGGACCATGTTAAATACCCTCCCGCCAAGCTGTCGGCCTATTCAATAACGGCCGGGAAGGTAACCGCGTATCGCAGTAAAAGCCGTAAAACTCACATTGTTTGTTGGGTGTTCGAAGGAGTGAGAGCGTGTATTTCAATTCTATGGGTTTCGCCGCTGCTGATTTGGATGCTGTTGCCGCTACTGTGTTGTTACTGATGTTACTGTTGTTTAAAACGATGCTCCTCCACGTTTGATGCTAAGGGTGGTGGTGTCAGCTTTTCTACTCGAGCTGGCACTAGTAAAGTCAGTGTGTAGTTGGTTGGCGTTTTGTGGTGGGGTGGTAATATGATGTGTGTTCGATGAGCGTTACCGTATCATTAAAGCCGCAGCACAGTTTTTCACTATCTGTGATAATAATTCGCGCGTGTGTGGGTCGCCGGCTTTATCTAGTGTTGAGAGATCTACGTCAGGTAGAGTGTCCCTGTTTTGTTAGATTAGTTTTGTTGATAGGGATGGTGTGCGGGTGCGGTTCGATTGGTCGACGTTGTCACTTGTAATGAATCAAAATAGAAGTTTCGAGATTATTCGAGAAACTTCTAGAATACACTTTAAACATAAATATTATCAATTTTAATTACTTTTCTGACCGACAATTATTTTATTACTCGTTACAAATACATCGTTCATTTGGAGCGATGTTTACATTAATGTCCATCTTTTTTAATTACCATTAGCGTATCTGTGGCGCCGAATAGACAAGATTAAATAGTTAAATCTTTAAGACAAACTAGCTTCCCTTCATCACCTTACCAACTACTTTAATATAAAAAGGCTAGTAAAATTAGCACAGAGGCTCTTTTTACTTTTTATACTTTTAATCTTTTTCTCTCGTACACTCTTTCACTTGCATACTCTTACACTTTCATATTAAAAGTTAATAATGTAAAATTCACGTTACTTTTGTTAATTTTAATTATAAGATTTATATACATTTGTTAAAATAATTAATAAAAGTCATAGAAATAAATTCAGTATGTTGCCCCTCATATCAGTATTTTTATTTATTTAATTTAACTTGAAATATCAACGTCAACAAGGAACATCACAATTCATCATCTACCTACGAGTCCATTTGGATATCAAGGTAAGTGTAGTCGTAAGACATGCACTATATTAATGTAATATTAAGAAATAGGAAAGAGTGGGTAAGAGGTAGGAATAAGACGATATGAATGAATCTAACACAATCCAAATAACTTATAATCCCTTTCCTATCATCTTCACCACATCTTTACCATCCCTCTCCTCACCTCCTTCTTTATTTTATTACACACTTTCACAACGGGAAGAAGACTCAGCGTATCATTTTTGGCGGGTCGTCGTCGGCCGTGTGGCACTTGTTGGACTTTGCACCGTGGCGTAAGGCACGCGGTGTTGGTCAGTAAAATACTCATAAAATAGGGCGACAGCTGATAAAGGTGGCACGAGTCGCGGGACCATGTTAAATACCCTCCCGCCAAGCTGTCGGCCTATTCAATAACGGCCGGGAAGGNTGGCACGGGTCGCGGGGCATCGTGTATAACGAAGCGCGCGGGCCGTGTCAGATTATGATACTGATCACTGTTAGATTTCAATTTATAATTATAAATTAGAATTTGACAGTCACATCTGATAAGTAATGCGTCCAATTAGTAATGCTACTTACAAACCTTTGAATTAAATTTATGATAAATTGTATAAATACGAGAAAGTGATTTGGTTATAACCAACCATTAAAAATTTTCTAATGTTCATATTATTTTTCAAGAATTTTATTGTATTTGTTAAATTATAATATGATAATTTGATTCTAAAATGCATAAAAATATTATTAATCTATCTTGGTATGATACCCAAGGGCGAGGTTCCCAACACATATGTTTAATACAGCAAAACATTAATTTTTACTAAATTTTTCCCAATCTTTCAATTTTCGATAAATAATTAATAGAAAAATTTGCTATGGACAATTTTATCTTTCTCTTAAGATATTCAATTTTTAATTACTATATGTTTACTTTTTATTGCGAATTTCCCTTAGGTAGGCGCTATTCGCCCAATCTTTTCTATGTGTACAGGAAGATTGAATTTAAGTAAGGCATTCATTTTTTCAGAAACCATTGAAAATTTAATATTATGTAATGATAAAAATTATTGGTTTCAAATAATTCTACAATAATAGGTGCTTAAATAATTTTTGTTTTCATGCATTTAAAGTTAAAAACTATTATTTTAACTTAATAATATGATAGAAAAAAAAATTACAAACAATTTGGTTTTTATCATTTTTTTTATTCGATTGATCGTTCATCCATTACA